TCCCGATTAACATATAGGCATATTCTTATCTCAAAAATCCTTTCGGGCTCTGCCCCAGTGGCTCTGTAATTCCCCATTTTAACCTTATGAGTATTCATATTCAAAGGGAATTAAAGCATTAAGTCAGCTGTTTCAACTAAAAAAGTTGGTTCTATGATATGGAAAAGCATTAAAAAGTTATAAGATTTACCAACAGGGTGCAGCACTATATTTTTTTGCATTTATGAAAACAGCTTATTTGAACCATAGACAAAAAGAATTAAATATAGACTGTCAGCCTGCTGCGGTTACCATGGTTACTATAGGTTCTGGCGCACACCGCTGGGAGCGCCGTGTAGTTCCGTTGCGCGTAAGCCGTCACTTCATGGCGCTCCCAGCGGTGTGCGCCATAACCTATGGTAACCGCAGCACTGCTGACAGTCTATATTTAATTTTTTGTCTATATTTGAACTAAGCAACAAAAAACTGTGATTCGCAATGAGAACTGTCAAAGTAGGATTGTTTACAGTTATGTTTATGTTTTTCATTTCATGAATAATTTGTGATATTTTGCTAATTGCTGATAATTTATTTTTCTCTATTGTTTAGGTGAAGTAGTAGAACATTATGGCTATAGTAGATGTGTAATACTATAGAATACTGAAAATTTAAAAAAACAAATTTTATCAAACTGTGTCCTCCCTTATTGCAAACGCAAAGCTTGAGTATAACTGCAATACACATTTTATACTTATATTCCAACCCCGTACGAAGGACGGGCACTCTGCTAGTTACTTCTATGTTTCGTAGTAACTGTATGAAAAAATAATGTGTAAAACGAGACCCTAGTTACACAAATGAAACCTAATAAATACTAAATTCTTTCACAAAACATGCTTAAGGTTCGTCATGAAAATGATGTTCCTGTACTATCAAAATACAATTTTCACCACTATGGAAGGCCTAATATTTGAAAATAGTAAGAGTAGCTATGAGATAAAGAGCGCCTGCTAGAACTTGGCCCATACTCACCCTTCTCATGCAAATAATGCACTAAACCTATACCCTTACTAGTAAACGTCTCATTGAATTGTAAAAATATGAGGCCTGTATTCGCATGTTTCATGGCCAGTTTCATCTACATGATTCTAACGTACATTTATTATTCAATTAGAACGGTCAAAAACCGTCAAGGACAATAATTATAATACCGCTACATAAAGACTAAAAAGAATTTTTTTATACCTCAGCTCACGCACTGTTTAAATAATTTCATTTTATATTGTTATATTTCCCTGAAATAATTTTAAGTTAGGTCTGTAGATGGATAGAGACTAACTAACGTGTATTCTCTTATTTGCTGAATGTTCAAAAAGCTGAACCTATTAAAAATAAATGAGTGATAAAAACCGTCAAAACCGTTAATGTTATTAGTATGAGGTCATTTTTACTTTCTCCCCCTATAATATATGGAGTATACAGTATATGGAGAAAGTATTGTTTTCGACAACATTTTTAAATTTGAGTTTTGAGTGCATACGTCCATTTTGGGCCCTCCTCCCCCTGAACCCAAAAAAGTGGTTTTCGAAGTGATTTCTGCGTGTGTGTCTGTCTGTGTGGAGACACAGATAATATAACCCGGTTATATTATCTGTGGTAGAGACCACACCCGAATTCCGATTTTGATAAAATTTGGTATGTAGGTACTAATCCGTGGTATCTCCAGGTATTTCTTAAATTTTTTAGAAATTTTTATTTTTAATGGGGATTTTCCTATAAAACCCCTTTAAAATACTGAAAAATTGGATTTTCTCAAAAATGGCCTGAACTATTTTGATAGAAATTTAGTATGTTATAGCCCTTTAGATTCTGAACAAAATGGTACAAATCCCATTTCCGTAAAAACTACAGTTCAAAAGTTATTTATTAAAGTTATGTGATTTTCCCATACAAAATCTCATAAAATTACAAAAAATCGGATTTTGGAAAAAACTATTTTTATTGAAATTAATGTGATATGGTCCTTATAATTATAAACAAAATAATGCAACCCCCATTACTGTAACAACTGTATGCAACTTTTGTGATTTTTTTCTTCAAAATTATCATAGTTACTCCCACCTTCGTGATAAAGGTTGTTTTATGGGAGAAAGTATGTGTCCGATTGCTGATAACGTGTATTATTTTTACCATACAAGTCGTTTCTGTTCTAATATTCGTGGATATACCTGTCAATTTTGATTACAGCTGCGAAATTAGACACAAAAACTGATCCTGATTTATTATAATTTATTGCGGGCTTACTTATATGGCAATAAAGGGATCAGCTTAAACTTAAGTTATGTTTCTGTAATCGCTTTAACAAATTTTACTTTATAATTCTACTGTAAATTAAATTAGTTTAGCCAAACATAACTATCCGTCCATTATAGTAGGCTAACTGTTGCTCTTCCTCTGTTCATAAAATCTTTGAATGCATTAAACGTTGTTAAGGTTACCCTCAAAAACAGGGGTTGCACCCAATTTGATACCTAAGAGCATTGAGAAGGCGTCACAAATTGGACCTAACGGTTGAAATTATTACTTAAAAGTGTTTAAAACCAATACGAATATACATTAGTACTAATATTTTCCTATAACGGTGGTGTAGGTGTGTGTATGTGTGTGAATGTGCAAGTGTGCAAGTGTGTACAGCCTAGTTAGCAAGTAAGGGAGCCAAAAGCCTCAACCTTACCACAACTTTCGCCTTCAACCACCCAATAATCTCAACCAACTTAACCTAACCTCATCCTTCTGCAAGCAATTTGTTTTTATTAGTTTATGCAATCCGAGTGATTTTAAGATGTTTAAAATACAATTTTAACTTTAACTTAATGTTTTAAGATATATGTGCAGTTACTATCGTATTATTATATTTCGGAAATATAAATTGCCATTATTTTTTGTAACATGTAATATTGCCGTTTTTGGTTAAAGATTTTTCAATTTTTTATTCAATTTTTATACGGTTATTGCCTTCTTAATGTTAGTTCTTATTGTAAAAGGACACTATTGTTAGTGCAAGGCCCCTTATCTTCTGATATAATTGGCGACATAATTATTCAAAGTGAGAAGATATTAGTAAAATTCATGAACATGCGTGCATCCTTTTACTATGAGATAATTAAAAACAAATTTAATGTTTTATGAATATAGATGAAGCATCACAATAACATTATCACCTATAAACGTGTTTTACAAAGGTCCCCTTTTGAAACTTAAACAAAATTTAAAATGTTAATAATTTACTATTGCATTGTCAAAGGTTACGTTTTAAATTGTTAATTGATTCGCTTCCATATAAATAAGAGTACACGTTTAAATTTTTCTCCTGACCTGCTGTTTACAAATTCAGAGCATAAAGAATGTTTTTAGATTTTTTTGTAGAACTCAGGCAGTTGATTTATCGCAAATCCATAATAAACTATGAAAAATTTTAAATAGCTATTACAAAATTTCTGTTTTTAACGCGCGTTTATTATAGTAACATTTTATTAATTTCACTTCCACCATCGATTGTTTGCTAGTTAAAATTATTATATTTTATCTTGAAATTAGTTATTTCGGATGTTCATTATAATCAAGTTTATAATTGGATCACCCATTTAACCAAACAGTTTTAAAAGGATATAAGACAGGCAAGAATTTAAAAGACAATAAACTTGATCTGTATTAAATCTATATAAATAAAATTAGAGTTTTGTCTGTACATTGCTTAGAATAATGAACTTTTTGGTTATTTTTACATTTCATAGGTCAGAGAAACCGAATCAAACCTTATCTCAATTTCTGTCTGTCTGTCTGTCTGTCTGTCTGTCTGTCTATCTGTCATTCTCTTGGTAACGCTAAAATACGCACTTTATTACAACTACTCCTCAATAACTATAGCACTGTCCCGCCTGAAACTTATTTTCCAAATACTATACATATATGAGATGGTTTTAGACGTATTTCATCGAATATGAGACAGTTAGATATTTAACAGTAAACCCTTGAAAATCAAGTTTTTGTCGATTTTTGACGTGGAATTTCTGGAAGCCCATGTTAACCTTATGAGAAATGAAATTATTGAATCTTAACAGCTGTTTCAATTAAACAAGTTGGTTCTGTTCTGTGATGTTCAATAGCATTAAAGTTACAAGGATTACCAACAGGGTGCAGCACTAGCACTATTATTTCTTTTACATTTATGACAACAGCTAATTTGCAACCTGGAGGCGAGTGAGCGTAGCGAACGAGCTAACCTGAAGGCAAGTGAGCGTAGCGAACGAGCTAACCTGAAGGAAAGTGAGCGCAGCGAACGAGCTCCAACATACAGGTGAGTGAGCGTAGCGAACGAACTTCAACCAGGACGTGATTGAGCCATGCAAACGAGATCAGATAGTAAAAATAAAAGTAAGCCTACCGTTATAGGATCGACCGGCAGACACAGAGGTAATTTACCGATCCGGAACAACAAAAAACAACATAAAATGAAGCTATGTATAATAGTTTGGCCAGCATATCTTAAAATATGCAAACCAACTGCTGTTCTTTATATAAGAAGGTTTCAACTGAATATTATAAGATCCCCGTGCGTAGAACGGGTACACAGCTAGTATATAAATATAAATGTGTTTTAATTCACAGATGGCTCAAATGATCAAATTCCTCATCAACTGTTGATACGAATATAACTATAACAGCTGTCATAATCAAAACAATCTGTAATAACAGAAAATAGTTATTCTTATTTTAAGCTTACAAATATAACGACTGCAAGACGATAAAAGCAAGAAATTAGACGTGAAAAATCCGTAAGACGTAATAGTATTGAAAACACAAAACACTTATAATGCCGGGCTGACGTTCAACCTATATGCTGCGTCTGCAGGTGGGTCACATTTGCTTTTCGCGAATTTTAGGCCGCGCGATAGTGTCTGTGCAGCGTTACACCTACTTCTAACTTTGTAATCTACAGAAAAATATGAAAAATCCCTTACCCTTACCTCTGCCACTTCTGCCGACGAACCTGAGGTCGTTGAACTTGGCCACTTGGTTCTTCATGACGGCGGTGCAGTTCCTCAGCTCGGCGCAGTAGTTCTCGTCGTTGCCCGCCTTGACGGTGACCACGGTGCCGTCCGTCACGTCTCCTAGAGCCACCACCTTGAAGGCCACGGGCAACGTCTTGTTGGACCGCCAGTGGGGAGGAAGCACCGTACACACGACATGGGGACTCCCCGTCCTCACGAGTTCCCCGGGGTGTTCCGACAGGATGCCGTCCAAGGTCCGCTCTGCCAGGATGTCCGCACTCATGTACCCCGCGTCTAGACCGTTCATATCCGACAGGTGCATCCTAGGAGGACGCCTGGGTCACATGCCCAAGCGGCGAGGGCAACTCCGAGAAAACGTGGCAGAGGATGAGCCCAGATTTGTGGAAAAGGCACAAGTGGGAAACACGAGTAAAATTATTCAAAAGATATTTGACTTAGAAATTTAAAGTTAGTTATAGCAAAACATAAAAGTTTCTTTGCGTTTTTGGTTAAACTAAACCCCGAAAATGATCCAAAACAGAAAATAACAGAAATTAGTACTTTTGTTTAAATAGATGAGTTAGCACAACTTTTTAAGCCGCATACCACTTAAATCACAACAAAGCAGCACTATTCAGGTCTTCAACCACAAGCCGGTGTCAAACTATGCACGAACTGAAGTTATCCGAGTTTTTCGGGTTTCCCGGACAGGTCGAGGAGGGGTGGGGGTGGTATCCTCGCCACCAATTATGGCCAGTACCTCGCCGCGCCGGCCCGCCACCTAGCCGCACTTTTCTCACGGACCAAACGCGAAGAACTGATGTTTTTTACGCCCGTGCGGCGGCGGCGGGGGCGGTGGGCGCGGGGTGCGGTTTGGTTTTTACGGGGGCGTGGAGGGGCGGGACCGCCTCAACATCTTCTGGTTACCGAGACCGAGCCGTTGCGGCCTCCCCTCCTGCGAAAGAAGCCGAGAAACGACGAGTTGAAAAGAAAGGGCGAAGAAAATTGTGGCGCATGCGTCTCGACTTTCTTTTCCTTGGCGTCTCCAAAAGTCAGTCACTTCGGAGTCGGACTCCCGTGAGGAGCGATGAGTCATGATGAACAGCTGATCGATATCACCCCCGTCAGCTGATTTTTCGCGCCTTTAATCAAACCCGCGTTCATCCATTAGCCCCGATTGCCCCTGTTGTTTTGACAAATGATCAACACAGTTTAGCCGACCCCCGACCATATGTCAGTCTGCTTCTCGTCATTATGTTCGTGATATTCTCTACATTTATCAACCTGCTGACGCGATCCGGCTAATTTACTTCCCCTTTAGAACTTCATTGGCGCTCTGAAATGTTATACTTTAACTTCCATCAAACGTTTTACCCTTTAATCGTATTGATCAATATCTTGTTTTTGTACTTTATTAAAGTTTTAAAGGTCGTGTTAAAATAATTAATAACATATGAACGTTCAACAACATTATAATTGGAAACTTTATATATATAAATGCATCGTCATTTATATTTAAACTGTAAGAATGCTACTCATATCATACCGGAGTGTTTTAGAGAGTAAACAAAGAATTAAGGAAGTTATTAAATCAGAGTGAAAGGAACATCTTATATTATTAGCTAATTTATAGACTGGATTATTTTTATGTGATATTATATTCACATAAGCATAGACTATAACTCAGAAAGACAGCCTATGTCCATGGGCCAACTAGCCGAATTGAAGGATATGGTATAATTTGGGGGTACTAATTTTCCTTTTCACCAAAGTTATACGGGTCTATTAGGATGTCGAAAAATCATGATTGCCATCTCAAAGTGGTAGCTAATAGAAATGGCGGCCAATCCAAGATGGCGGATGTCGAGTTTTAGAAAACCAACTATATCTCTGGAACTATCCAACCTATTTCATTGTTTCTTTTTTTAAACTAAAGCTCTATATATGTGCTACAAATGTCGTTATATACACTAATTCGATAAAATTAACCGTTGGTTAGTAATAAAGAAAATGATAATTGTTTTACTAATTTTTATGTCAAAACCAATTTTATTAATAGATTATTTAAGAGTTATATGTACATTCAAGCTATAAAACAGACTACATATGTAGTGTAATAAATTCTCTTCAACTTGATATATTACATGTAGGTATCTGATAGCATAACACCGAAAAATCACTTTAATGTCGTAACGTCTAAACAAAAATTAAAAGTCATCTTTGTCACTTTCAGAAGATTCGTTCAAATTAAAATCCACGTTTTCTTCCTCTTGTTCGGTATAGTGTTTTCACAATTTGACAGTCTACACGCATTAGTGCACTTTAGATTGTTAACCATAAAAGAACATGATGGAACTTGGCACGACTTTATCATAGATAAAAGGAGTATGCTATTATGTTGCAAATTGCCTCACCCATCAATTGCAAGTGGAATTGCATGGAATTGCAAGTGGTTGTATCATCGTTGTGGTTATACATCGATGCTTTAAACAGGAGCAACTTAGGAGTTCAACGACTGCTTCAGGGGCTGGTGCTCCAGCCATCCACTTGATTTTTAGCTCACCATCTTCGTCTAGCATCCATCCATGATTCTCAGGTGTTGGGATTTCAGGAAAACTATTCAAACATTGCTTTCAAATAGCTGTTTGATAATTAGCTCGATTAGAATGTTGATTTAAGCAATCTTGACATGGAGGAAGTTGAGCTGAGTCCACTTGACCTTGCCGACTTTGAAACATGTAAGTTCGTCTACGTTTTTTATTTTGGTGTTTCTTGAATACAACTTACAGGTGAACTTGTTGATTACATTTTGAATTTTGATCATACTTCGTCAGGGCAAACTCATTTCCAAGCTGTGAAAACAGCAACCATCCAAGCTGCCATTCAAGCTGTTGCAAAATTTTACAGGGTGAATAAAAAGTCAAGACCCTCCCCCCTCTAATATTTTTCTAAGTAGATACAGAGACATCCTTTTGGAGGTCTTGCAATCTTAGCAGGAAGTTTCATTTGATGATTTTGAAGTTTTGAGTGGAAAAGGGGGGGGGTTTGGGGCAACTCAAATTTTTTTTATGTAAACACCCTTTAAGTGACACCTCATTTTGAAGTGTTTAAAAAACTTAAAGAATGGTGGGACTCAGAGTTCGCTATCTCTTCTCTGTCCAAAATGGTAGCTAGTATTACAATTACGAACCAATATTTGATTTTGGATAGAGATGAAATAGCAAACTCTGGTCTTCACCATTCTTTAAGCTTTTGTAAAAACTGTTAAATAAGGTGTCACTTGAAGGGGGTTAACAATCAAAAAATTTTGGTTGTCCCCAAAATCCCCCCTTTTTAGGGGACATTTAACAATTTCAAAATCATTAAATGAAACTTCCCGCTAAGATTAAACGACCACCAAATATCTCTGTATATTTACTAAGAAAATATTAGAGAGGGGGGTCTTGACTTTTATCATAGACTAACCAACGGAGTATGTTTTATCTATGCTTTTATTCACCCGGTATATTGCTTTGTAACAGTTTCAATGCTTTGAGCTTTCCTTGTCCTGAAAACGCACTCACAGTGTCACAGCCAGTCCACGCATGTAACCCAGGGAAAGCTGATTTGACACTACAGCGAACCACGGATGCTAGTCTTGTTATGTTTACCAATCTGATTCGGCCACTAGAACCGCGTCTTATTTACAGGTTACTCTTTATGTTGATGTCGGATGATATGTAGAGAGCTATGACTAACACGTCTGTATCATCAGATACACAAATGACATTTGGAAATTCCATAGCAGCGTCCTTTATACGTAGCATCATACGTGTATCCGCTTCTTCTTGAGAACAGGCAAGTTCGTGTACTTCTTGAAAACCACTGCCAGTTATTTTAATACACTTGTTAGAGGAAGTTACGTGTAATGTATTGTTACCAATTTTCATCCTTTTACTTTCTTCTTGCCAGCTTTCAGCAAGAAACTTGGTTTAATTATGTTTTACTGTCACCACTTAGTAGAAGACTTCTCTATTTTATGATTCTGTGACCACCTTTAATATTCTTAAAGTGTATTCCTGCATCTGAACTGCGACGATCTACTACGACGTTCAGCAGACTTTATTGACTTGTTTTTATAAGTGTCAAATAAATACAACATCAATTCAAGTCATATGATAGGCTGCTTTTAAAACTTGATTGAGGATTGTATCAGTCAATTGATAAAATGTTGTATTTTCTCCGTGTATTTTTTAAAATTAATGCCATCCCATCAATTATCGTAGCTGATGAAGTTATATTTACATCTGCATGTAAGCTCTCCAGGTGTTATCCCAGCACAAACTTCGTTGTTTTTAGCGAATTTCCTATATAGGGAATAAGCTATTACCATAGTACTCATGGTAAGACCTGGACCCGGGAACGATATAATTTTTGTTTTTGAGATCCCAAGAGGCCAAAAACAAAATCCGTTCAAATTCATATATATATGTTCGTTAGCGCGATAACTCGAGCAAAAATTATCCGAATTTGATGAAATTCAATATATTGAATACAAATTGAATACAAACGTGTAAACCTACGTTTATTTGAACAAATTCGCAAACCAGCATATTGAACCATGGGAACGGGGTTTATGGGTTAAAAGTGGGGGTTTCCCATTTTTTACCCTAAAAACAAAATATTTTGCAATTTATTTTCAACCCGTTTTGTAGAGATTAAAAAAGAAATATTTTAGTATATTGAAGCGTTTTTGTATGCCTAATGGTCACAGAGAAAATTCAAAAATAGTGTTATTTAAATTCCCATGTTATTCTTATGGAGAAAATGAAAACTGTCTTGTAGTTTACTTGTTTATGGATATATATTGATAAAATTTGGCAAATTTATTTATTTCATCCTATACTATTGACGTATGGTTAAAAAACACTTTTTACCTTCCCTGTAGCAGCAAACCTAAGCACTCGTTAAATCTAATGTTTATTTAAATTGGGAATAAATATGTCTTATTTATGGAAATGTTGTTTCTTCCGGGCAGCAATAACCGAAGGGTATATTATAGAAATGTATACTTAAAAACAAAAAAAAATATTGAAATTGTTAAAAAGCTATTTTGAAAACATAACGATATTTACCTGAAACATAACATTTTTCTGCGCTCAGTTACCGTATTTTTTTAACGGTGGATTTTAAAATTTAATTTATGTTACTTATCTTTTCGGTGGAATCTATTCATGCAATATATCAAATTGAAGAGAATTTATTACACTACATATATAGTCTGTTTTATAGCTTGAATGTACATATAACTCTTAAATAATCTAGTAATAAATTGGTTTTGACATAAAAATTGGAAAAACAATTAATATTCCCTTTATTACTAACTAACGGTTAATTTTATCGAACTAGTGTATATGACGACATTTGTAGAACATATATAGAGCTTTAGTTTAAAAAAAGAAACAATGAAATAGAGTGGATAGTTCCAGAGATATAGTCGGTTTTCTAAAACTCGACATCCGCCATCTTGGATTGGCCGCCATTTCTATTAGCTACCACTTTGAGATGGCAATCATGATTTTTCGACATCCTAATAGACCCGTATAACTTTGGTGAAAAGGAAAATCAGTACCCCCAAATTATACCGACATGTTGGCTGGCCCATGGACTAATATACAAATTACAAGGCAAGAAAATAAATTAAGTTCAGGACCATCTCACCAGAGGGTACTAGCATAGACTAACAAACACAAGTAGACTTCTCATCCCACTGTAAAATTTGAAGGTAGTTTTCGTGTCTAGTTCATGTACTGTGACACTGGGCGCTGGTGTCGGCAAAATTTCGTTTGTATCATTTTGGCGTTAATTTCTTGATTTGTGCTTTACTGTTTGGTTATATAAGTAGAAGACGAATTATTGTTTATGACTATCTCGTATTGTTTGGCCAAACGAGGTTTTAAATGACTGAAATAAAAATAAACAAATCGTAGATAATACACTACCTTTATGGTGAACCGGACGGAACTAAAGATAAAATTGTCTTCAGCTGATCCATAAGAATGAGAAATCTAAGGGAGAATGTTTTACTTACGGTGTTACTAATACTAAAGATTTATTGTTTCTCAAATTTGCTTCCTACTAGCAGTGGTGGGGACATAACAACTTTTTTATTGTACAATTTCTTATGCTTTCAGTTTTACAAGACTAAACATGTGTTGTATTAAGAAAATACTACATACTTTACATCCGCAAACTTGTTTGGAGGCTGGTATGGTAAAAAAATACTATTACTTTTCGTCATACTCCAGCAAAAATTGGCGTTTTAAAAACATTAGTTGCTGGTCTAATGTAGTTCTTCAGTAAAAATGCCTTTTTAGTCCTTAGGTAGTAAGAGTCAGCTGTTTAAACTCAGTTTTAAACTTCGTTAGTAGGCAATCATATGTAACACGCCTAAAACAGAACATATCGTAGAAATAATTTAACAATGCTAGAATAAGAGTAGCAATTGTTGGCGTCAAGAGAGGAATTGAGCTAACTTACATTAAGTCAAAAGCTCTATTACAGTGTGTGGTTGACATCTACGTGCTGATAGAGTGCACCCGCCTACTATACATAAGAGATGACCAAACCAGTATGCGAGTGAATGTAAATTTAAATATTGTAGATTACTTTTTTGTTTTTTACATCATCATATTTTTTATATTCTATAATCCGTCAGATAAATTATTTTAGAGTTACTCTTTGATTAAGGTCTTGCTGCTTATTTTTTGTTTATTCTTTTAATAAAAGTTTCAGTTTTGCTCGATTTCGAGCAACGGGTTATCTAGTTTGAAATTAATAGATTTCATAAAGGTTGTAGCTTATTGCTTCATTCTTGTCAATACTTTGACAAATCGATGTTATAGTTTACAATAATGCAATCGTAATAGACAAAATTATTGAATCACTAAACAGCTGCTTATTTGCACTGGTCAATTTATAGCGAGTTTGAAGTAGTTGTAAGATTTTATCTTTGGGTAAAAAGTATTTTCGTTTGTTAAAATTACTTTGTAGATAGTGTTGAAATAGGACAAAAGATATATTTCATCACACGGTCAAATCTTGTCTTTTCAACACTAGCTCATTTTTGTGAAACTTAATGAAAAAAGCTACCGGTAGGCCCCAGTGATAAAATATACTTTGTATGAGAAATCAAAAAATCCTCGTCTCGTGTTTGAAAAATCAAACCAAAGTTTGTAGATCTAGAAATCATTCGTTGATGCGACGTGTTGACGTAATATCGATTCTTGTCACCCTTACACTGTGTAAACAACCTAAATATCACACTCATGTTACCCCTGGCAGCACAACCCTTACCCTCTCGCACTCGACGATTGAAACACACAGCCTGTATCAAGGACGAAGTGGTATTGAAATAAAATAAAAAACTAACTTAAACTCGTTTAATCACAGAGCAAACGTAACACAATTTGTTTACTTAATAAAATAGACCTAAGACAATATGACCAGCTGTTTCCAATATATTACACTTTTACTTCCCCGTCGTGTACCGCACTTTCTCTTCTCCACAGTTGATCAGAATGTTTTCTTTTTAGGACACCACCGCACATGACTTCATAAGAGTAGACACCATTTCGTTTGACTATTGTTTCTGCTATCTTACCAGGGTTATTCTCATTTTTCACCCATACTTCTCCTCTTCACTAATGTTTAAATTTTTTTAGTTGGATCTTGACGTTCTCTCCAAATTTTCAGATCTAATTTTTGTCTTAGGTTTGGTATCATGCCCAACATTGTTGGCATTCTTCGGCCAAGAAACCACTCTGTAGAGGCTAGTCATGTGGTTTTTTGCGTGGGCATTTCTGTAACTGTACAACACATTTTGCAATGCCAATGAAGAATCATCAATTTCTTGTTTTGTTGTTCTATAACGCAGTTTCAAGGTGCCTATTAGACGCTCCACTAAACGCACGCCATTTAGTGCGCCTAGACGCGCTTATTTCTAGTATGATAAGGAGTAGTTCTTATATGACGAATTGAACGTCTTTTGAAAAACCATTTCAGTAGGGACAAACTGTGGCCCATTGTCAGACACTACTTGTGATGGTATCCCATATCTGCTCATCCACGATCTCAATCTTTGAATCATGGCCGTTGAAGTCGTTGTTCTCAAACATTCAACTTCTGCCCACTTAGATAGCGCGTCAATCCCTACTAACCACATTACCCCATCAACTGGCCCAGCTAAATCCTTTCCCAAACTTTTTCAGGAATGTTTCATGGTTAAACAGGGACTCTTTCATGTTTCCTCGGTTATCTTGGCATGCTTCACAAGTCTTTACATGCATTTCATTGGCTTTGTCAATGCCAGGTCACCATACATAGTATCTGGTAATAAATCTCATAGCTGAACTCTAAATAGTACCAGTAGACTTTTTATTTTAGTGTAAAATTACCAAGGTGTAAAGCTGATGGCCTATGTGTGTGGTTTATGTTAGTTACTTAGAGTGTGATGATGTACAATTGTTTCTCTCTAATGAAGAGGTTTTAGAGGTTCGTTTTTAAATTGATAAAACTGTTTCAAATAACAATTAATTTTACATCTGATAGCTAAGTGTACAGTAAGTGTAACAATGATCGTTCTGTTTGTTTTACCATCAACAATAAATAGACTTACAAAATAAAAATGCTTAAAATGTACTAAGAAGTGGTTCAATGTGTCAAACTGGATCTACTTCGTACATTTTGCGCGACACAATCGTCCACCCGAGCAACATATTCTATCCACCATGATCCGTTTTCTTCTTACATGCACTCTATAAGTCACTTCCGCAGAGACGTCAAGCAATGGGCAGTGAAGAAACAATTTCTAATGTCGAACGCACTGTTGAGCAGATACTAATGAATCGATTCACCGTCGTGCGCTGCAGTTGGAGTTATGATAATCCATTCTATGGAAGTTTTTGCGTAAAACATCGTATGATAGCTTACAACAAAGCTATTTTGGTAAAAATCCATACCATAATCTTTAAACTGATTTCAACTGTGTAAACTAATTGAAATTCATGTTTCTGTGGAAAGAGAAATAGCACAGTTTGTGAGCGTGTACATGGCAACAAGGTAAGAGGTGGTCGTGCATTAATTGCGCTTAAGAGTTCCTGAATTGCGTCAAGCCCTCAAAGGGTCCCAAAAAATGTTCCTTAGTTACCAAGCCCAAGCCAGGTAGGAATGAGTTGCCGGCTGAAGGAATGTCATTGTTAACGTGTCATCCTAATACATCCTAACCTAACCTAGCCTAGCCTAACCTACCTTACTCAATTATACAGTCAAAGAGGGCCGCCACTTGGCACAGTTAATGAACGCATCGGGTATATTGGCTTGGAGTAGTTGGCGCAATTCAGGAATACCCGACTACCTGACTTAGGTCAGTTGGCGCAATTAATGAGGTCATATGAAAAAAGAGTTCCAGATTAGTTCTGAGAACTCATTAACCTTTTGGAATGGGTTTGTGGTTTATTTGCATACACTTGTACTAGTTGCTCTACACATTCACACAAAAATTGTCCATCGATGTCAGACCGCATGATCGTGGAGGCCATGGCAATTCATTTCGCGAAAGCATGCGATAACGGAACGTGTTTTGCAATAAGTAAATTGTTTCAGTATGCATCGATCTTTATTACTTCAACTGAATCACAAATTCTGTGCTGGGGTTTCGACCAGGTCGCTTAACGGATGACGTGTCACTCTTTTTCGAGATATTGAAAAATAATTGAACATTATTATTTTGTATAGTATCGGTTACGGTGAGAAGTCAATCATTCGTTTTAGTAGCCATGCTATTATTTGTATGTCTTTGAAAAGATCAAACCAAACAAGGCTTTAATTTTATGTCGAACAGCTGTTGCATTGTAAACACAAAACTACAATTATTTTTCCAACGGTAAATTTGTTGTTTGTTTTTTCGCTTCAGGTACACTTTTCCACGTTTTTCATTCAAAACCTTTTGATATTTGGTTATTTATCGTTTGTGTTGACCTTACAACGTGATTTCGGTAAGTTTTTAAAAGTGTATAGTTATCATTAGGTTCCTTTGATAAACTCCAAAATAAAATTATTATGTTACCTTAGAGCTCAATTCAACGATTGATACAGCTGTAGGTTTAACAATAATAGTCCAAATTAGTTTTCAATATTCATTTTTGGAGATAGTATTTGTAAATAATTTTGAACACCAAACTTGAAAAACACTATTATTTTCATCGTCTTTTTGTATTCCACATTTACATTACGGCCTAGGATGAATGAGTTAGTTATAGAATAAGATTTCATTCAAACTACTAGGCAAGATTCGTCTTATTATTGTAGACCTAAATAATATTTACGTTTATGAGAATGAGGGCCAACTTTTATCTTGAGTAGTTGTATGCTTTAGGAGTTTTAGGGTTTTACATTTCACAGCTTTTTATCATTAGTTCATCCCTGGTATCATATACAATTTAACACTGTGCATAGAACTACAGTAGTACTCCTTAATGATTTGAATTGTTGCATCATTCCTTTGGCATTCAGTTTACTGTACATATAGCGGGTAGGAACTGCTAGCCTAGTAAATATTCAATAGTTACTGAGTAAATATGTCAAGTAATTAAGCTATATAATTCTATAATGAACCAATACCAATGTATCTATAATGTAACAATAGCTACATGACCTACCCAAAACATTGAATACTGCAGTGGTTATGTAACAGCAAGACTACATGTAGGCTACCTATCACTATAAATATTTTATTTGCAATTTTTGTTTCAGGGTAGAATAAAGATGCTGCGAGCAATACTCTCTCGATCCACAAGAAAATTCCTTGCTAAAAGACCTCTCCCAGAGTATGCACTCTCTGCGCACGCCGCATCTTCTGCTGTCTTCGAGCGGCCAAGAACGATTCTACCTGTAGCCGTCCACAGCAAACGCCCCTTGCTCACACCAACGAATAATAATATGATAAATAACGTCCCTTACATTACACCTTTCTTGAACATACGTTGGGCCTCTGACCAGAAGAAGGAAAAGGCAAAAGTCTCCAGTCCCAGTGTATGGGCGTGCAACATGATCAACATGTTGAAGTGCGTTGACTTGAACGACCTGAAGGACGCGCCTCCGCCCGCGTTCTGGTTGGCCTTTGGAGTTGGGGCAACACAGGTTGTCTTCCCACTGGTAGAGATCATCGGAGGTTACTCTGACACCATCACCTTCTACCAGCTCAACCTCGCCGCCTCCAGTGTAGCCGTCCTCAGCGGCATCAAGTGGGGTCTTGCGGTATCCAACAACCCCATTCCCAAGCCTGATTTTGATACTTTAAAGTTGGTCATGGGTCCTACATACGTCGCCATGTTGGGGCTGTTACTTCCTACCGCTTTAGGGTTCCCTACGGTCGCGGCCGCCTTGGTGAGTTCCCTCTACCTCGATCTCAAGTCCTGCGCGTTCCCCCCGTGGGCCAACGCTACGAGGTTGTTCTTGACCGTGTCCACGCTTAGTGGACTGGCCATGGCCTGGTTTGCATACCTCCTCTTCCATGAAGGGAAGAATCAAAAGAAGAGAGAAGAGAAAAAAGATGCTAAAGGTCTGAATGATAAAGAGGATGGTGACGAGAAGTCCAAGAAAGATGGGGAAAAACAATGAGGAAATTATATAATATTTTGTTTTTATTTATTTATGTAAAATTTAAATACTGGTTACTGAGTGTCTTTGTTTAACTTATGTAAAGTAAAACCTGTTAAAATAAATCTGCTCTTATTTATAATTTGGAGGGGCATGCAACAAAATTAGTACTGAAAAATCCTGTGTTTTTTGACAAATTAAAAACTCAATAGCATATAATAATTCACATATTTTCAAAACTCACTTTACAGTATTCTTGATACACCCTAAAAGGCTTAATTTCAAGAGCTAGGCGTGCTGCATTAAATCCATACTTTGATATATCTAATTTACGCAAAATCATAAAAATAATACATTTTCTTTCAAAACCCGTAAAACCCAATAATAAAAAATGACGCAGCTTTTTTTATTCACATATATTTTTGGTAAGACATCAAAGATAAAAAACCGTTACAATAATCGTATTGCAGGATATTGGAATTATCTTACAGAGTAAACAAAACTCCCTTCACTTGTAACGCAAAACAAAAACGACAAGTGTGATGCGTTCTACATCAGCCTTAATTACCCAGGAGTTTATAAATGGTCGGATAATTGAGGGTAAAAGAGGAGTGGGGAACCAGCTGTCCACTACATGGTGTCACATACTGTACGTCCAGAGCTGTCCGTCCGCTGTCCTTTTACTCTTTATTACATTAGCTCTTTACACTTGACATTCGCGTTTGTCAGAATCAATGTCACTTCTCGTAAAATGTCGTAGTCGACGAAAGGAGGTAGTTTTGGGTATTATTTTTTTTCCTAGGACGCTAGGCACGAGCCCGGAATTGTTTTTCACATTACTTCAGGCTAGACCTAGGGGTTGCGAAATTATCACATAAATAAAATTCATTGATGATTTGGCGGGATTTGAACCCGCGACCTCTTGAACCAAAGTCCCACGCTCTAATCACTGGACCAGCTCGCTCCCCTGAGTTTTGGGTATTAGAAATGTCAATTTTGAGATCAACTCAACTGCTGTAAAATAAGTTGTGTGTGATGTTGTCACACTCGTAACTCGTATTTGTATATTTAGGATTGGTAGAATTGCCCATGAGGATGTAGCTATTAATGACTAGGGCCTATTGGATACTGAAATAGATTAATGGTCTAAACTATTAGTGTAGACTTCATGGTAAGACTGGATCTAAAAGCACTAATTATTTTCGTTTTTGGGTTCCAAAACGCAAAAAAAGAAAGTGGGGTTTTATCCCAAAAGTTAAATTTTTAAATATATATTTATACATTTACCCTTTAGTTTGCCATAAAGGATTGAAATAATCATATTGCATGGCCTTTCTTTGCTGGTTACCATATTATTTAGAAGCTAGAGTATTTTGTCTCTCACGATACCCTTAGAGAGGATAATTAATATTGCAAATGGTTTGATTTTGTTTTAATTTATGGTTGAGCATAAAGGGTTCAAGACAAATTATTTTACAATTTAAAATAGCTTGTGGTTTTTGCTTTAATTCGGACAGATTTAGTTTTAACACACACACACACACTATTATTTCATATCGCTGATAATCAATCGCATTGTAAACACCAGGGATATATTGAATTCACACCCCGGACATTACCATATCTCCCCAACAATGAGGCTGCGTATCGTTGGTCTACTTTAACCTTATACATGCTAAGAAATTATTTTGCAAAGAACCTGGCTTTGAAATTGCCGTTTACCCTTATTTTATGACTATTGAAGTAGCCATTCTTAAACCATTGTAAGAATATTGTAACCGTTTGTAACAATATACATTCTATTTCGACAAACCTATCTATATATATAATTCCGTAAGTCAAATTTTTGTAAAGAAATTGTGAGTGACTGGATGGCCGTAGAAGGATGAAAGGGGTCTTATTTTAAAGGTCTTGACGTGAATTTTGAGGGAAAACTATTCATTTTTCTTATTTTTTTACCATAAATTCGCAACAGAATAAAACTTTTCCCATTAAAACAACATGGGGTTTAATTTGTTTACATCTTTTGAAATTAAAACAGAAGTCATTTACTGCTGATTTCTGTTTACTTCAATACATCTGATCGTGCTATATCTTGAAAACGGTGATCAATACACGCAACTTTTGGCCAGTCAACTATGATATGTATACTATAATAAAACTGAAATCTTGAAGATTAATCGGAAAAACGTCTCCATTCTTTGTTTATATTTAAATCATATACTCAAGTTTCATTTTTTTTCATGCTTTTACGTTATTGTCGTGTTAAAGGAATAAACGACATAGAATAAATATTCTGTATAAATAATCAAAGAGTCGAAATTAAATCTAACTTCTGTTTTGTTTTTATTTTTAAATCATATGTTCAAGTTTATTTTGAATGATGTTGTTTTCTTTATATTTCTACACATTTTAAGGTTAAGGTTGTGTTAATATATACAACTAAAATAACCTACAAATGTTATTGGTTCTAAAATGGTGTATTTGCATTCCTTCGTAAGTAAATATTTTTTTAGTGCAGTGAATATACAACGTAGAGTAATCATATTCGATCATACTTTTATAAAATCACCAGGGATTCAAGATGTTTTGGTATGTAGGCTGCTGGATATATATTCTTTTCATTATAAGTACTGTAATTAATATGAACGCCAGGGGAAGACCACAAAGGCGGGGAGCTGTTCATAGGAATGACAGTGCGCGTAGAAGAGCAAGAGTAGATAATGACGAACTTAATCAAGATATGTTACAACCCCTTTTTAGGAGACCCATGGTAGACGAGAGAAATGTAAATATCCATGATGCAGGATTACTGCATGGTGGAAGTAAATAAATAAATAAATAAGTAAATATTTACTTCCACCATGGGATTACTGGACCAAGAGTGCATTCAATGTAGTGCTCTTCATTTTAGAGAAGAACTAACGAATAATCATTTTATGACATGTTGCCATAACGGACTTATTAACCTTCCTCAGCCAAAAACTAATGTAGAACTTAAAAATTTGTTTGAAGAGAGCCCACAACTGTATAAATTCATTCGACAATACAACAGTGCGATGGCTTTTGCTTATTTTTCAGCCAGTAAGAAAGATATTCCAGGAAAAGGACCATACTGTTTCAAAATTCAAGGACAGATTTATGGTTCAATCTCAGATTTGCTGCCTCAACATGATGAAGACCCCGTGTATGGCCAGTTGTACATTATTGACACATCAACAGCAACAGAAATTCGTCAAAGGCGTCGAGAAAATAGTGACTTAAAACCTGAAATATTTTCAAAACTAGCTGAAATTCTATTAGAAAATCCATTTGCACAAATTTACAAAAGAGCTTCGGAAGAAATGGTTGTACAAGGTGACAGTGAATTAGAACTTAGGTTTGTAGACAGGATAAATATGGATCGTCGTAGGTATAATAAGCCTACTGCAGATGAAATTGCAGGCGTCTTCAATTCATCTGAAGGCGAACCTCAAATTAATTTTTTAAATTCCAAACAGAGCAGCTTTTATTTATCCTCATTAACCATAAGACCAAAGCTACCTTAGTAAACCAGTATTTATTCACAAACAATTATATGTTTGCTGCCTTTTCATGTTAAACCACTGGAGTGATTCAAATTATTTATTGAAAATGACATCAACAAAAGCAACAAAAAAGAACAACAAACTGGTTTTTACACAAAAGATATGGTGTAGGGATGCCTATTCTGACACATAGATAATGTTATTCTGAGTTTGTTTAAATACCGGAATTGCAATATGTTGTTTTACATTTCAGCTTTTTAGGGACTTATGTCCCTACAAGCCACTAGTGTTAATATATTGATCTACAATAATAGTGGTAGTAACATCAGCTGTTCTTTAAAATAACAATAATTTTTTAAACCTGTCACTTGGTTTTCAACAGGCACCCGGATTCTATACAGTGGCCATAATGATCCGCATTTGATTATTCATTTCGTATTTTTACATTTACCTCATGCATGCTTTCTATTTCTAAATTAATTTTGAATTAACGCCATAATTGTTTTTTACATTCTACTTAATACTTGTAGAAGCCAAATTAAGGTGTGGTTGGTAAAACACTCGACAGTTCAGTAAGATATCAATCACCCTGATTTTTTAGAGACAAAAGCTCAATTAAATTGGATGTGGAACTGGAATGGGTTCTGACATTTTCTATTGGATAGTTTCATGAGCCTCTTACAGAGTGTTCTTCTGTTGAAATACAATTTCTACTTTCGAGTTTTATGCCAAAAGTTAAATTTTATTACTACATAATTCTATGAAAAATGTTGAAATGGTTGGTTTTAGTATTTGATTTTGTCTAAAGTCAATGCTAATATTAACTTACGAATCAACTTTAAAATTCATCATTAGTTTGTATAATATTTAACAGCCAAGCTATGTCAACGTTCCAAGCAAATCTCGAAAAAATATTTTCTCTCCACTTCACATTTCCAAACATCTCCATCAAAAATTAGATCAAGTCAAGACTATCGCTAAGTAAGCAAGCGAAGATGCTCGGAGTCAATTCATTGCAGTCGCTTTGAAGTGAGAGAACACGTGTTTTTATGAAGCCGATTTTATTGAGCCAGGCCTGATTTGTAAGGCACAGTCGGCTCGGCGCATTCATAATTCATGCTCCAGCCCTCGGCTCAAAGGGCGCGTAGGGCCCTAATGGTCAAAATATGGATATACAAAGAATAACGTCTGAGAGGTTCATATATTTGTCTTAAAGGGCAGTTGAAAGCCTCAGTCCCTGTTTTGTGATTCATACTCCCCAACATTTCGCGCTTTATATCTCTTTAATACGGATGTATATCTTGACGGCATACGGATGGCTGCTTTCGAATGTCTTTCACGTTTATGTATGTTGGAGGATAGTCTGGGCGATATTTTTTAGTTTGCAATGTGGAATTTAATGACAATTTAAGAGGCATTCTGTTAGAATTAATTCACTATGTTTATTTTACTAACAATTATCATGTAGAACAATTTGTTCTGTAAAAAAGTATCATAACACAAACAACTCCAAAAATATGAAATATGAATAAACACTTGAAATGTATACTTCCGTGGACAAAATATTTTATATTATCTGAAAAAGGTAATGCGATAAT